TATCGAGTAGTTTTATCCAGAGATTTCCCATTGATTCCCCAATGTTCAATGTTCGCATCAGATGCTTTGTTCCATTTTCGGAGACAACGCAGCAAATTCATGCACAATCCACATTTGTCATGCTTGTTGCTTGGTGTTGATATAGGTTTTTCATTCATCCAGACCCACCACTCAATGGATTGGTTTAAGGGAACATTTACTTCGGAAACCCTATGTTTGAGGGAAATTGGGAAAAAAAGATGATGGCCTGTGGTTTTTTTTCCATATTCCTAACATACCAATCCATTGAACCACCTAAATCACCCTGGTTTCATCGGATCACCGATGACCACCAAGGTTCAGATACAGGGTCTTCAAGTGCGCCGAAGACCGACGACCGTTGTTGTCGACGATTCGACGACTTGATCGTCACGATGTTTATAATGATATGATGGGTATATAAGTTGGAATAACTTAGAATATAATACATAAGTATTTATATATATATTTGGAATATTGGTCTGTAACTTGTCATATTGGGAATATACTCACAATATCAAATGATATTTGAATTAAAACGACCTCAAAAAACGTCAAAAAACGTCCTGGTTTTCTTTTCTTTTTCGGGGAGATCGTCCCACAAGGGCCGTGGATGCCTTGATCCTTTGGAAACGGGAAAATCCAATGGAAAATCATGGGAAAATCCATGGAACATCTGTTTGAAATGGGTGCCATGTTTGATTACCGGAGGCTATGAAGTGACTCTCTTTCCAGTGGTTGGGAGGGAGCTAGCAATATTATCCTACATTCCCCAAGAGAAATGGGGAGCCAAGGAGCTCCGCATTTCTGCGTTGATCCTTCGAGTGCCGTCTTCATATCACTCCTGACATCTCATGGCAGGTTGTTCCGCAGGCACTGGGAGGTGGCTATGTCATCTGAAAACTTGGATCTACTGGGTCAATGATCCATTGAATTCTACCGTTACGGTAAACTTAACCCGAATAGGAAAACATATAGGAAAACACACTATTTTTTTGAATGGTGTCTTTAACAGCTCTCGATTCATTGGAACATTGTCCTTGGTTTACTACTGGGTTTACCAGGCTTGCACTTTTGGACAAGGGATGACTGGCAACAAATTGGAATTCAGATGTGCAGAGAGTATGTATAGATAAGATATGTCCTGGAGGAGTTGCTGGCGGTTTCAAACATTGTTGTTTCCAACTCTATTTGGCTATATGACATTCAGTGAAATGACCAACAGGGTGATGCCCCCCAGATATGTTTAAGTTGCTTTCCAAGCCCAACAATATTACTAGCTTGATATATCAACCATTTCAACCCACAAGTGATTATAGTCATAGTGATTGTAGTTATGTGTTCGAACTGCGCTAATATAAATCATTAATGCAAAAATTAATAGTTGTGCATAAATCAATTATTATACATTACATGTTGCTTGGCCATTTCATGTTCCCCAAAACGTCGCTGGCGTCACCAGTCACCAGGTACACTTTGGACTTCGCTGCTAGCGCTGACATGTTCGACCAGGTGCCGTATCCGATGTTTGGCGTATCCGATCGGCATGGGGGAATCAATTCCCGCGTTCACAACGTGCCCTCCGGTAAACTGTTACATAACCATGGAAAATCACCATTTTTATGGGTAAATCATTAAATCCACTATTTCGACTGGGCCATTTTCAATAGCCAAGCTAGTTTACCCGAGGGTAACTGGTTGGTGCAATGTGGTCCCCCTTAGAAATCCAAGTTGGTTTAGCAATGTGTTGGTCAACTCCTAGGTCAACAAACATCCAACTCGGGGGCAACACTTCCTATATCCACCATGGATGAACGGGGGATGGGACCAAGATGAATGGGGGATGGGACGAAGCGATATTTATGTATATAATTAATGATTATAATATATGTATGTATATCTATGTATGTATAATATATATATATATCATTAACAATCAGTAAGCCAGCAATCATAATCATTCATAATCAACAATAAGCCACAATTAAGCCATTATTTTACCAAAGTTTAACCCATTCTTGGGGGTACCCTCTGGTAAACTAACATAGCTATTGAAAATGGCCATAGAAAGAGTGAGTTTTCCCATTAAACATGGTGATTTTCCATAGCAAAATGTTAGTTTACCAGAGGGTAAACCTCCATTAATCACCATTAGATCCCACTAAATCACCATGAAATCCCTTCTGAAATCACCATGAAACCACCAGTTTACCAGAGGATATGTGTTGATTCAAACTGGACGACAGGTGCTGCCCTACCTGGATTACTTAGAGTCCTGGATGGAGCCTCGACGTCGGAATCGCGCCGCCATTGGACTATGGATTCCATTAAAATTATCGCTGATTTCTTGGTTGCGCAAGGTTGTGAAATAAGGATGTGTATAGTATAATATAGTATAATATAGTATAATATAGTATAATATAGTATAATATAGTATAATATAGTATAATATAGTATAATATAGTATAATATAGTATAATATAGTATAATATAGTATATAACATAATATATTTCTTGGTTAGGATGTTATACTATTTATATGGGTCTTAACCATGAAAAATGGTTTATTTATATATATATATAATATATATATAACATAATTTAACTGAAAACATAGAATGTGGTGCCCCCCAAGGTTTGTTGGTTTATAAAGCCAATGAATGCTAGTTTGTTCTAGAAGGATCAAATTGTTGCCATAGTCATTAGAGCTTCACCAAACTATCGAACGGGGGCACCACCTTGTGGGATGTTGAGCCACAAAAAATAGCCTGGTTGATTGGTTAATTTGTTAGGATTTATACTAACTAATTTATTGATATTTATTGGGGATTATGATAACCTATATATATATATACACATAGTAGGGAAAGCTAGAAAAAGCAACAAATCTTTCATGAGATGGGATAGAAATATGGGGTGTTGAAGCATGCAGCATGAGGAGTTGACAAGGAAACATGCTGGATTCATGGAAGATCATGAAGTGATATTGTCATGAGCAAAAAGCAGAGAACATGACATCAATGGGTTTGTACAGGATAGCGGTTGGAAAATTGTAGAGCAATAGTTACAGTACTACCATCTGGTTATTTAACATAGCCATGGAAAATCCTCATTTTTTATAGGTAAACCATCATAAACCATCTATTTCTATGGGCCATCTATACCATGGCTATGTTAGTCATAACCAGAGGGTACAATGAAATTGGGTATACACCTAGCAGTGGGATGCCAATGATCCACTTCCATGGATGCTTCGTGGGTTTACCATATCGGGACCCATCGTTTTTCAACAACGAAACCTGCCGGTTTCAGGCTGGTAAAACTTCCATAAAAAAGGGGAAATCAAAGCCATGTTTTTCCACGTACATTGTTACCCTCTGGTAAACTAACATTTTGCTATTGAAAATGGCCATAGAAATAGTGGATTTACCCATTAAAAATGGTGATTTTCCATAGCTGCGCTAGTTTACCAGAGGCTATTCTTGTTGATTTCTGTTTTTTTGGGGGGGCTCATTTTACACCATGAACTGCTTCCTTCCAAGCAACACCGAGACATATGTTTATATTGCCTGAGAAGGGCAAGTTTAATCGGACACGATAATGATTAGCCGATGGATCTACGGTCCAACGTTTTCAATCAACCATTGGTTATACCCTCCGGGAAACCAACATGGCATTAATGTTTGCATTAAAAAGTCCATTTATTGATGATTTCTCATTGCCATGTTTGATGACAGTGTGTACTTGGTGGCTCATCCCACCTAGTAGGTGGGTTATAACCCCAGTTATAAGTGGATGAACCCTACTTATCCCATTTATAACTGGGGTTATAACCCACTTACTAAGTGGGATGAGCCACCAAGTACTGATCTTCTACGCCCGGGCGAGTTTCCCGAGTTTCACCGCTCCGCCTGAGGCGGATTGGGATGCCACTTTGCAGATGGACGACAAGCGCAAGCTTTACTCAGACATTTCCAAGTACATGAGGCTGGGTAAATTATAACGACCTCACTGTTCTCCCTCACTGGAAATCATGGTTAGTAAGGTACATAGTCCCCTTTTATGGCCTTGATTCAGGTTAGTGAAATATTATAATTTACTCAGATGAGGTTTGGAATTGGGGAATAAATTACTTTGGAAATTGGGGAACAATTGGAGAATTTATAAGCTACCAACTTTCCTGTTTACACTGAGGCCTGGAAGAAATTGTGCAACTGTTAACAGGAAAAGATGCCAAAACACATGAATTTCCAGGGAATGGATATGTTCAAGTTTTACTCAGACCTTCGGGAAAATCTTGGGGGAAAATTGACTTTACTAATAGTAGGAGAGGGATATACCCTCCCCGTGCTACTAACTTGTCATTAGCCGAGCAGGTCATGTTTGCTCAACAATTGGAGCCACACTTTGTTGGATCTGAAACCGTCCATTTTTTGGATGCTCGTTCTATTCTGACCCATATAGATATCCTCTAGATCAAGAATTAGGGTTGGAGAATGGCCTGGTCGTTTTATCCTTTCCCATTTTTTTAAACAGCGTTCCGTGATGTTTCGAGATTTGGATGAAGCGGAACTGCACGTGAAGCGGAATTTCCACTCCCTGGGTTCCATCCATCCCCTGGAAAAGCAACAGATCTCGCTTTGGCGCAATGCCAAAGTCAATTGTGAACCGCGAAATGGGATGATCATCGAAAACCCAGATGCTCCATGTATGGAATATTTACCTACAAAACTGGTTGATTTTTGGGGTAAATGTAGGGATTCATATTCCAGCACCATGGAGCATCTGGGAAATGATTAAACCGACCCAGATAAGACAGACGCTCGAAGGGATCGGATCATGTTGATGTCGTAGATTTGTAGATGTTCAGCCCGGTCTGCAGTGAATGCAGGTTTCCTAAAATAATCTAAAATATGGATACCCCCAAATCATCTTTTTTTGTGTGATTTCCTATTTTGATTATAAACCAACCACCTATTGGGGATCCCCCATGACTATATGGAAACCCCCAATAACTCGATGCCACAGGACCTACGGCAAGAAGCCCGAAGCTTTCCAGTACCTGAAGATGTGCGCGATTTAGTCGTCACAGACGGTCACGTCGGGTCGGGTCCGGGTGATTGGGATATGGGAATATCCCAGGGATATAGTTGGGATATGATGTGGAGATAATGAGGAGAAATTACCGGGTTTCTTGATTTCACGTTCTTCAATATCTGTGGCTGTTTTTCTTTGGGGCCCGTGTTTTTTTTTTCAACCGCATCAAACCTCTGTGGGGTCAGCACCCAAGTCGGAGTCCCTTGTTGATTTCATCACGTGGCACGGACGTTCGCACAGCAGTATCGAATGGATGTGCATCCCAAGAATGGATCTGTGGTTTCAGTCCATATGTTAAAATATGTCACCCTAGATTTAATAGGGTACAATATATATATATATACACATATTTATTTATATACACTTGTTTTTTTGTTGAGCCCGTTTACGAAGTGGGGCTCGGCCTGCAGATGTCGAGAACTGCCGCAGGTACCACAGTCTCTTTCAGGGTGAGTCTGCGGACTTGCTGAAGAAACCTGAGGCCACCAGGATCTTTAGAACTGAGAAAACAACGGGCCGTGGGGACCCCCTGGTTATGTTTGTTGCTTTAGAACCTCATTGAAAATATAGTTATAAGATGTTAGAAGTATAATAAACCATAGTTTTTGGAGTTATGAACAACCAACTTAGCTATCGTTTGGGGGCCCCACATTGTAGGGGGATTATACTATATACTAGTACTGTACACTATGAATCATATATAGTCTTCACTATGATAGTTCACTAGTTCACTGATATACCCCAAGAACTTCTATTCATTTTTTTTAGACAGCATAAAAAATCGTTAGGGATCTTTAGGGTATATGCTTCCAATGAATAGAAGTTGAAGTCTTACAAACTTGGGGTCCTGGGGTTGATGGGTCCAGTGAACCTTCCAGCTTCGACATGGTCGGCAGTTTCATCGTCGCAGTTATAGGTCAGTAATATTGTTTATATACAGACAGTAGGTGATACTGGGGATACAATGGGAACCATAAATAGCAATTTCATTCCCTGCCATGGTTAAAACAATTAATGGCCAATATATGCCAATATAAGGATTCCTGTTGTGGGATGGATGACCATACTCAATCCAATGTAGTATACGCATATATAGATATATATATAGTATCATATCCTTTACCGCTTTTGAACAAGAACACATATTTCATATTTAATTGCCTTCGGCAAGCAAGTCGGCCATAGAGAGGTGGCGCCTAGGGAGTTTGATGTGCACTCTAGGTGGAAGCCCGTGAGAGAAGCAGAAGAGAAAAGAAGAAGACGAAGAAGAAGAAGAAGAAGAAGAAAGGAAGACGAAGACAAAGCCGTAAAACGGAAGCGGCTTGTGTAGCAAGTGCTAGCTGTAACAACCTGTTGATCGTATACCAAATTAGTACCGCCCCCAGCAAAGTAGCGCCAGGTACTATGGATGAGCCTCCAGGGTGAAAGCGGAGAGAGATTGCCCGTAGGGAAGTTGATGTGCACGCTAGGTGGAAGCCTGAGAGAGAAGCAGAAGAGAAAAGAATAAGAAGAAGAGGAAGAAGTGGATGCACAGGAAGAAGAAGAGACGAAGACAGAGCCGTAGATCAGAAGCAGCTTGAGTAGCAAGTGCCTGCTTGAACAACCTATGTGTCACATACCAATGAGTACTGGTCGATCAGTTTAGTACCGTGTGCATCCTGTGACGAGTACCTGTAGACGACTGTAATGCTGTAGGCAGTGTCATTAGCTACCGGCACTACCACTTTAGCACTTCCGGAAGAAGGGAGAAAGGAGCAGTAGAAGTAGGAGTAGGAGCACGCGTCAGAGAAGGAGTAGGAGTGGTAGTAGGCGTAGCAGGAGTAGCAGGAGTAGCAGGAGGAGGAGTAGTAGTGGTGGTGGTAGTAGTAGTAGTAGTATTAGTAGTAGTAGTAGTAGTAATAGTAGTGGTAGTTAGTAGTGGTAGTTAGTAGTAGTAGTAGTAGTAGTAGTAGTGGTAGTAGGGGTAGTAGGGGTAGTAGTGGCAGTAGTGGTAGTAGTGGTGGTAGTGGTGGTAGTAGTAGTAGTAGTAGTAGTAGCAGTAGCAGTAGCAGTAGCAGTAGCAGTAGCAGTAGCAGTAGCAGGAGCAGTAGCAGGAGCAGGAGCAGGAGCAGGAGCAGGAGCAGGAGCAGGAGCAGTAGCAGTAGCAGTAGCAGTAGTCAGGGGTTGGTAACTGTCCCATTTTGGGAATATTGGACATCACCATATAGTAGCCATTATAGACCATATACCTAATGGTTGGGTGATGTTTAATGGGGACATTTAATGACCCATGGTAGTAGTAGTAGTAGTAGTAGTAGTAGTAGTACCAAGAACAGAAACAAGAACAACACATTCCAATCAGACACGCCGGCAGGACGGCGGATTAGCTACCACTACCTCGGCACACGTCCCTGCATCCATACGTTCATATTTCGGCTGCTTGGACATTAGGCAAAATCTTCATTTGGTTTTGTTTGAAAGTAGGATAGGCATGCATATTACCTATCTAATCACATTTTTTGAGTGTATACCTTGTACAACTCATTTTCGGCAACCCCAGCAAACACATCATGGTGTTCCAATTCCCATATCATTCACGTAGCAATGGAAAAGCTCCCATTCATAGGGATTTTGTATTGCCAGATGGATTACCAAAGGGATTTTGTTCATGTTTCCATGTGCCACCAATGTAAAACATACAGTGTGGCACCCCGTAGATAGCTAAGTTGGTTTATAGATAAGGTGGTTGATGGCTATATATACCATTATTTCCATTTTCAGAATATCCCCAATATTGCCATCATATTTCCGTTATATCATTTTTGGTTGCTTATATGATTAGCAAAGGGTACAACGTGGTGCTTCCCATTGGCACATATCACCTAATGTAAATTGTTCCCCACATCTTTGTGTGGGGTTCTTGTTTTTGATTCTGTATCCCGGGCTCCTCCTCCGCCGCCTTCTCCTCCTCCGCCCTCCTCCACACTTTGTCACCATACACTTTGTCAACAAACACTTTCTCAACACACACTTTATCACCACACACTTTGTCCAACACACACTTTATCAACAAACACTCTCAACATACATTCAACATACACTTTATCAACAAACACTTTATCAACATACATTTTCTCAACATACATTTTCTCAACAAACACTTTGTCAACACATACTTTGTCACCACACACTTTGTCCACACACACTTTGTCCACACACACTCTCAACATACATTCAACATACACTTTATCAACAAACACTTTATCAACATACATTTTCTCAACATACATTTTCTCAACAACTTTGTCCACACACACTTTGTCACCACACACTTTCTCAACAAACACTTTGTCAACACATACTTTGTCACCACACACTTTGTCCACACACACTTTGTCCACACACACTTTGTCACCACACACTTTCTCAACAAACATTTTGTCAACACATACTTTGTCACCACACACTTTCTCAACAAACACTTTGTCAACACATACTTTGTCACCACACAAACTCACATCCCCCGTCACAAACTCACATCCACCTTCGTTTCACGTGGCAGGCGTGGCACAAACTCACATCTACTGTCGTTTTGCGTGGCAGGCGTGGGACAGATGGCATTGGGTGGCGCGCTTGGCGCGCTTGGACGGGCTTGGGCGCCTGTGACGCCGCGGCACTTTGCGTGGCAGGCGTGGCACAAACTCACATCTACTGTCGTTTCACGTGGCAGGCGTGGCACAAACTCACATCTACTCTCGTTTTGCGTGGCTGTCGTTTCACGTGGCAGGCGTGGCACAAACTCACATCTACTCTCGTTTTGCGTGGCAGGCGTGGGACAGATGGCATTGGGTGGCGCGCTTGGACGGGCTTGGGCGCTTGTGACGCCGCGGCACTTTGTGTGGCAGGCGTGGCACAAACTCACATCTACTCTCGTTTTGCGTGGCAGGCGTGGCACAAACTCACATCTACTGTCGTTTCACGTGGCAGGCGTGGCACAAACGCACATCTGATGGCATTGGGTGGCGCGCTTGGACGGGCTTGGGCGCCTGTGACGCCGCGGCACTTTGCGTGGCAGGCGTGGCACAAACTCACATCTACTGTCGTTTCACGTGGCAGGCGTGGCACAAACTCACATCTACTCTCGTTTTGCGTGGCAGGCGTGGGAAACGCACATCTGATGGCATTGGGTGGCGCGCTTGGACGGGCTTGGGCGCCTGTGACGCCGCGGCACTTTGCGTGGCAGGCGTGGCACAAACTCACATCTACTGTCGTTTCACGTGGCAGGCGTGGCACAAACTCACATCTACTCTCGTTTTGCGTGACAGGCGTGGGACAGATGGCATTGGGTGGCGCGCTTGGACGGGCTTGGGCGCCTGTGACGCCGCGGCACTTTGTGTGGCAGGCGTGGCACAAACTCACATCTACTGTCGTTTTGTGTGGCAGGCGTGGGGCAAACGCGCATCTACTGTCGTTTTGCGTGGCAGGCGTGGGACAGATGGCATTGGGTGGCGCGCTTGGACGGGCTTGGGCGCCTGTGACGCCGCGGCACGTTGTGTGGCAGGCGTGGCACAAACTCACATCTACTGCCGTTTCACGTGGCAGGCGTGGCACCAACTCACATTTACTGTCGGTTTGCGTGGCAGGCGTGGGACAGATGGCATTGGGTGGCGCGCTTGGACGGGCTTGGGCGCCTGTGACGCCGCGGCATGTTGTGTGGCAGGCGTGGCACAAACTCACATCTACTCTCGTTTTGCGTGGCAGGCGTGGCACAAACGCACATCTACTGTCGTTTTGCGTGGCAGGCGTGGGACAGATGGCATTGGGTGGCGCGCTTGGACGGGCTTGGGCGCCTGTGACGCCGCGGCACGTTGTGTGGCAGGCGTGGCACGAACGTTCACCTACTGTCGTTTCACGTGGCAGGCGTGGCACCAACTCACATCTACTGTCGGTTTGCGTGGCAGGCGTGGGACAGATGGCATTGGGTGGCGCGCTTGGACGGGCTTGGGCGCCTGTGACGCCGCGGCACTTTGTGTGGCAGGCGTGGTACTGACCTCATCGCGTACATGGTCCACGCCGACACCCGCACTCACACACACACCGACACACACACACGCACACACACATACACACACACAGACACACACATACACACACGTACACACACACACAGACACACACATACACACACGTACACACGTACACACACACACACACACACTAGACAAGAATGGATCATTATATGATCCGGCAGGAACTGAATCCTGAAACATGCAAACCAGCCTAGATCGTTAGATTAGTAAAGGAGCCACATGAGGTACTTCTCGAAAACGATGTAGGGCATCCAATGTTGTCAAACGAAGTCAAAACCAGAATCCATAGAGTTTTAACCAGCATGTTGAGAATCCACAATAATGTTTCGGCGATTGTTTCCCAAAATAACCCAAAGTTCGTCGGCGACATGATCTCGGCGAAAATATGTCAAAAAATCATAATACTGTCGGC